TAGGGTTTAGGGTTTAGGGACGTAGTTCTGCAATACCCAACCTTTAAACTTTTTGGGCTCTTATAACAAAGTAGTAATCTGAAGGTTTAACCTTTTTTCCCTGGCTTGTTGGGGAAGTAAGGAGCACGGCACGCGCTATGCGCGGCTCCCCCTGGAGGAGGGGCTTCGGGGTTTTCGGGGTTTAGCGGTTCAGGGTTTGGGGATTAGGGTTTAGGGTTTAGGGTTTAGGGTTTAGGGTTTAGGGTTTAGGGTTTAGGGTTAGGGTTTTGGTGTTTGGGGCTCAGGGTGACTCCCTCTCTTAAGGAAGTCTTGGATGGTTTGGGGGGCCGCGGACACCTCGTAACGCTCCACCCCGGGGATGCCCTGTACATACCGAACGGCTGGTGGCATGCCGTGGAAGCGCTGGAGGATTCGGTCTCGGTCAGCGGTCGCGGTCTAACCTTGTGTGAAGGGGCTTCCTTCATCCCATTCTGGTTGGCGCTCATCCTGTGTCTTGGCAGCAACGGAGCACACCTTTTGGCCTAGCAGGCATAAGTGGCATAATTCAGAGGGAGGTGTGTGTGTGTGTGTTGTGGCACTCCGGGTCATGCCTGTGCATGTTTCGCTAGCGTCAGGCAGAGGGCGATGCGGGTGCCCGAGGAGTATGCAAGCTTGCTGCCGCATCTCCTGGCTCTAATGCTGCCTGGAATGTTGGCTTCGCCATTGCTCCTGCTTGACCTCAGGAAGGAGAAGTCGAAGCGTCGCTGAGGAATCGAGTGAACACGGCCCCTGGGGCCCAAGCTCCGGCTGCTCCAGGGGTCGGACAAAGACCCCTCCTCTCTCGGCTGTCGCTGGGCCTTTTAGGACAAGGCATCGCCAGCTGTACGCAGTTCAACGACCCTCCCGATGATCAAGATCCCCTGCCTGTGCATACTTTGGACATCTGGGACATCCTTGAAGAATGTTCGAAGACAGCTGGTCGACATTGAGCAGGTCGAGGAGCCGATTTCTGCCGGATCACGCGTGAGAGGACTTCGATTCTCGAGGCTTCAGCGGCGAAGGATCCCCACATCGGGGATCCGAGCAAGTGGATGGGAGGCTCTCTCATAAAACCTCTCTAGAAGCCCTTACAAAACCGATTCGTTATTGACAACCCTCCTAGAGCCGTCAGTGATCCACCATGATGCCATCATATGGAACTCTTACAGAGCCGTTATCGAAGACCAACTCGTGAGGTCGGATGCTTCCGTGACCATGCCGGCGCTGGCTTCTCAGGGGCGTAGATAGAAGCTTCAACAATTGCCAATATTGCACGGTCTAGGGTTTTGGGTTTAGGGTTTAGGGGTTCTCCTACGGGCTTCTTTGTCATATCGTATGTAAATCAGTATATCGTATACGGTTTAAAGATCACCAGCGGTTTTGCAGAATACAGAAGCCTATTCGTTCATTAGTATAAAAATGTACCAGACTGTTCTAAATATTTACAGCCCCTAAATTAGATGAAAGGCCACCATGAAGTTAGAAACGAAGACCAAAAGGGTTGGAATTGCCTAAAGTTTTCTGTTTAAGCGGCTGTAGACTTGGGATAGCTGTCGGTTGGGCATCTGGGCTCAGAAGCGGACCTGAATAATTAGTATGAAGATCCCCTCATAGTCCGTTGCAATCTGCACCCCAGAACCCTAAACCCTCAGCTCCAAACCCTATTTTGAATGGTGAAGGCTCCTGCGTTGGGGAGTGACACCACCAATAGTAAGGATGTAGTAAGAACCTGCAAGCTGAGATGTAGATTTTCGGAGCTGAAGAGGTGGGCCACAAGCGCACCGACGCAAGCCGCGGTGCAATCAGGCCCAGTCGCTTTAGGGCTTAGGGTTTAGGGTCGTGAGGGTTTAGGATGGAGATGCCATGAGTACGTTGAACTCTCAGAACCAGCTCCAAGCACTCTCTGCCCTTGAACTGCAATTGAACAATTTTGAGCTTGGTTCTGGTAACCCCCAAACTACAGCCCCAAAAGGGTCGTGTGTCTGGAAGGAATGATTGGACATGCTTGTTCTGCACTGTGAGTTTCCTGCAACCCTAAACCCTAAACCCTAAACCTTAAACCTTAAAACCCTAAACAACCTGCAACTAGAAGCTGCTGCACAACCGGGATGAAGCGTCTGTGGTTTGGAGCCATCTTGACAACAATGGAACTCTGCAACAACAACGGGACCCCCAATATCGACCCGAAATTGCACCCTAAACCCGAAACCCTGTAGGATCCGAACCCTAAACCCTAAACCCTAAACCCTAAGGCCCAAGTGCTCTAAGTTGCCGCCCGTAGTTTTGAGTAAACCCCGGCGCCGCTCGATTGCTTGGAGGAGCTGTGAGGCAAGTTCAGCCAGCCAGCTCTTCGCCGGAAGCCTCAGTCAGTTTCATTATTTTGAAGGTTTAGGGTTTAGGGTTTAAGGTTTAGGGTTTAGGGTTTAGGGCTTAGGGCTTACATAGCTTTCATCACGGTAGCTGGTGAGGGTATGCGCAGATCGTAAATGCAGATGAAATTGCCAGCCGAGACTGTCGGGAGTACTGAAATCCCTGCAGGAAGAGGAAAGCGCCATGCCGCTAAGCAGCTACTGCTGTAATGAAGAATCCGTTTTACGTCGATGCCTACTCGCACTCATGAGCCTCTCCTCATCGTCTTCGTCATCATCGTCGTCATCATCATCATCGTCATCATTGGGAAGCCCTAAGCCCTAAAGCCTCACAGCAGTAGTCGACTTAGCCGAACCTGATCGAAGAATGAAGAATGCTCCACTCCTCTCCTCTCCTCTATTCGAGTCTATTCGATTATTCTGTACTCTACTCTACTCTACTATAATATCCTACTCTTTTCTTTCAATTCCTTTCCATGCCCTAAACCCGTAAACCTCAATCCTAAACTCTCAACCCTCAACCCTCAACCCTAAACCCTCAACCCTAAACCCTAAACCCTAAACTCTAAACCCTAAACCCTAAACCCTAAACCCTGGCGCTTAAAAAAAAAAAACCTAAACCCTAAACCCTAAGCCCAGAACTTCTGGCCTCGGTGCCCGCGTCCCCGTGCGAGCCTCCGGGAGCCCTGGGCTTCGTTTTGGGGCTTTGGGTTTTTTGGGTCTTTGGGGCTTTGGGGCCTTAGGGGTTTAGGGGTTTAGGGTTTTAGGGCTTTGGGGTTTAGGCTTTAGGGTTTTGGGGCTTAGGGGCTATGGGGCTGTGGGGTTTTGGGGTTTAGGGGCTTAGGGGTTTAGGGTTTTAGGGGTTTAGAGGGGTTTACGGTTTAGGGGTTTGGCGTTTAGGGTTTAGGGTTTAGGGGCTTTGGCGTTTCTAGGGGTTTCTAGGGTTTCCATAGGGGGCTCTATGAGGGTTTGACGATTTTTTTGAGTTTTTGGGGTCTTTTGGGCTTTAGGGTTTGGGGTTTGGGGGCCTCTATAAGAGTTCTATAAGGTGTTCCATGAGGGGTTCTATAACCGGTTTTGTAAGTGTGCTGCGATTTTTGGGTTTGTAGTGGTTTGGGGTTTAGCGAGTTTAGGGGGCGGATTCCTTGTTCGTATGTTTCGTCTCTACGATGCGTGAATGTCTATGTACTTTCTCTTGCCATTCAGCTTTCTGCACCTCGAATCGCATGCGCAATGAAGCCCTTCGCCTCAAGCCCCGAACACTGAACACTCCGACCCGAAACCCTAAACCCCACCCAATACCGGTAAGCTTCAACTGCCAGTCCCGCAGTCCTTCTAGGGCTTTGGGATTCTGGGGCTGTGGGGTTCTAGGGCTTAGGGTTCAGGGTGTCGGGCCCGCGCTCCATGTGGTGATTTTTCTAGCTTTTTGCCGAAGTTGATTGTCCAGGAATACCCTAAACCCTAAACCCTAAAACCCTAAACCCTAAACCCTAAACCCTAAACCCTAAAACCCTAAACCCTAAACCCTAAACCCTAAACAGCCAAGCCGTTTTGTGCAGATTGGGGCCTTCGCCGGTTCCGTGCACTGCAAGCCTGCTTGCGTGGAACACCGAGCCAAGAACCCGATCCCCTGAACCCCTAAACCCCTAAACCCCTAAACCCTAAACCCTAAACCCTGAACCCTAAACCCCAAACCCCAAACCCTCTCCCCTAAACCGCAACCTCTACAAGAGCGAAGCCCACGAAGCCCAAT